TTCACAAAGTAAAGACAAACATAGTGCATATTTGGAGTATGGCATAACTATTATTTAGAAAACATAGTGTACATGCTTGGAGCATGGGACTACTAATGTTTTAATTCAAGTATAAAGTTGATTAATCGAAACATAAATAATGAGTAATCAATATGGTGCTTAGATAAAAGTTGTTTTTATTTACACCCAAGTGTTGGGGCCATATAGGATTAGTATTATTCCTATGTTTCACTTTGCATGTTTTTGATGGGTTTTATCCATAAGAACTTTCCTATGTGCGCATGCAAAACCCTATTGCTCGGATCTAGGCTTTCTAATTAAACATGCTTTGAATCCAAGACTTCTAATAGCTAATTAGGTTAAATAACAACATTGAAACAGATCTAGAATCATACCTTTGAGTTCCTTGTTGATCTTGTTGTCTTGGAGCTTCTAGAGTCACAAATGTCACTCCTCTAATGGCTTACAAACACCAATAGCAAGCAAGATGATTTAGGAGAGAGGAGAGGGGAAGAATTCGGCCAGAGGTTCCTTGCTTTAGGTTGTGTGTCGAATTCCCTCACCCCTAGGGTCTATTTATACTTGTAGACTCCTTAAGGGTTACAACCTAAACCCTAATTGGATAATCTTCTCTTAAGGCTATCCAAATCCATTCCATAGATAACCCTATGGACGATTTTGGCTTATCCAAGCCCTAGAAATCGTCCATCCTATCTAGGATAAGGATTTACAGTCTAAAGTGTAACTATCAAACAATTGACAGTTTATACCTTCTTATTTAATTAATCTCTTTAAGTCACCAAATTAATACCAATTAATTTATGACTTATATTAATCAAATAGCCATATATTATTCCTTATAATATTTACTCTCTCTTAACAAATCATCCTTCAAGTTGCTATGGTGAAGGCAACCCAAAAGGACCATGCACAACCGGATATAGTTATAGCCTTAGACACTATTCCAACAGTTTTGACTTCCAGAATAACTAGGTCGTTCTTCCTAAATAACTAAGTTATTCAAACCATCCACAGTCGGTCATATGTTGGAAGTAGATATGAATCAAGACAGTCATGGGTTGGCTTGTAGAGGTCCAAGTTGGTGGACAAAGTGGTGCTACAACACTCATGAGTACTCATAAGTTCTGAGTATTGGATTCAGCCCGCGCTCATTTGAATCACTTCATAGATTTTATCATGAGTGATCACGAGACGATAATATCTTGTATTCTTCAAACCTAGAGATATGAGTTGTTACTATGAGTTGGTTGTACATTGATTGCACGAAAATGCATTTGGTAACTCGATGTTATAAAACGTGCCTTTGTGTATGATTCAACAAGTAGTAGAACAAGTCATATGAGTCGAAGTTTATCCATTCCTTTTACCTTCGGGATAAAAGCGATATATGTGGGCCCCTCGATGATTTAATGATGACATATGTGAGTGCTTGGCTAAGCCAGGACTGATTTGATTTGTATAATCAGTCAGTCGTCATGAATCGAAAATCAAGAAACAACAAATGGACAGAGAGAATGATTGATAATCCATGTCTCAGTCCATATGCTATCTAGAATAGAGGAATATATGATCCCTTATCTAATGGACAAGTCATTGACAAAGGTCAGAGTTCATCTACAAGGTCAAAGTTCAATAGAAGATTTTGAGAGCTACGATTGCTAGTCGGTTTATAAAGTCATACTTGCAATAATTGTTTTAGACTTAGCCAAGTGGGAGACTATTGGATTAATGTCTAAGTCCATAACTATAATTGGTAAGACTTGACCCAACTCGACATGGTCCATTTGGGTTGCATGTCATCGGGACAATTGGATAGACAAGATGAGGAAAAAGGATACTAGTGATTTATATTAATATATTATAAGTTCTAATATATTAATATATAATCATAATCATTTTATCTAACTGGTATTGATCTAGAATTAATTTATAATTAATTAAGTGATTAAAAGGAACTAATTAAATATGGACTCTTAGATATATTTGTGTGATGGGCCAAGTTCATTTAAGTTGGGCTAAGCTTTCATGGATAGTCCATGGAGTGTTTAACCCATGGATCATAAGAAATGAAACGTCATGTGTATTAGGGTTTAACCCTAATCTCCACACTATATAAAGAGGTCCTTGATTGATGAAATGGCACTAGTGTGGGTACACTAAGAGGGCTAGCCGATTTCACTAGAGAAAAACCAAAGTATCCTTATTCTCAAGGTTATTCCAAGTGTTCATGGTGTTGTGTGAACCATTTGAGGTGTCACACTTGGGGCACTAGGCACTCAAGCTTCATGAAGACAAGCTACATCAAACAAAGGTATGTATTCCATCCATTTGATTACCCAAGTATCAATTATTATATGCTAGATAGGATAATACCTTGGAATATTCATATTTGTATGTATAATAGAGAAAACATAGATCCAAGGTATTTAGGGTTGCATGTACACTTAGGAGTGTTAGAATTCTCAAAACCCAACATTTTTTACCTTTCACATTTGATACTTTTGGATTCCTTATGTAACGCCTGATTCGTGGTACGTATTTGAATTCAAGAAACTTCATGTTTTACTCTGGGTCTCGGCGAGTTGGAGGCCCAACTTGTAGAGTAGACTCAACATTCTTCGGGGGTTTAAGTGACCAACTCGACGACTTGGGGAACCGACTCGACGAGTAGGAGCTGTCTGGATGAAACCCTAAAATTGAGGGTTTACACCCTATTTAAACAACTTATAACGCCACCAATCATCCTCCATTGCTCCTTCCATCCGAGAGAAACCCTAATTCGAAAACCCTAAGCCTTATTTGAGTGTTCTTGAGTTTTTTGTGCCATTTGTCTGTGTTTGAAGTTGGAAGAGGAGAAGTAAGCTTGGGAGAACAAGAGAGAGTAAGAGGATCCAGAAGTCTTGGCATATTTCCTGCTCATTTGAGGTATAAAACTAATACCTTGGCTATTCATTGTTTACATCTTGTTTTGGGGCTATTTCTACCCTTTTAATGAGCATAGTGTAGCCACAATCGGATTTTGCATGTGTGATTGGTGTTGCACTTCAGATCTGGGATCATTGGGGGTCCTTATGGCATAAAGGTGCCAACTTTGTTGCCATAAGCACCCCATGCATCTTATGCACTTCTCTTATGGTTTTTTAAGTCAAAAACCCGATGCATGGACATCAAGTTCGTAGATTTACGTGTGAAATGGACCCTAAGAGGTCAGATCTATGGTTTTGATGCATTAAGATCCATTATAATCGACTGTGTACTTTTGGACATAGAGGGACTTGGTGAGCCGTTCATGGGACTCAGCAATTCGGGTCGTGTTCATCATCAAATCCTTTCTGTTGAAGGGCCAAACACTAAGATAAAGGACACCCAGTTGTCTAGGCTCATTTGGGGCCTGGAAATCATGGAACTCGGCGAGTCGATGAACAGACTCGACGAGTTCAAGGCAATGTACCAACTGCATGAAGGTGGACTCGACGAGCTCAAGGACGAACTCGGTGAGTCGAATATTGAACACATTCATACGGGTGAAGATGGACTCGACGAGTTCAAGGACGGACTTGACGAGTCAGATGAAGAAGGTCCCGATGTTAGTTGAAGGGGGAACTCATTGAGCTCTTTCTAGACTCAACGAGTAGGGACGAGATTGTAGCTTTTCGTGAACATGGGAACTTGACGAATTGGTGGGCCAAGTCGACGAGTCGAGTCAATTTGATGTTGACTTTGACTATGGCTTTGACCTTGGACTTGAGTTGACCCTTGTAAGGGTTGCAAGTATGAATTGCTAAGTTAGAAAGATTGTTGTGTAGGAATTGAGGAATCAATGAGAGCTGGTTTCATACCGAGATCATTACAGACATTACACGACTTTGAGGTGAGTTTCCTTCTAGTAGGGGTGGGTCTATGGCCACAATGTCGACCCACAAGTAAGAGTGTCAAGTAGATGATTGTCTTTGTGATAATCATCTAGGATTGATATGTGATATGACTACTGTGCTTGATATGATTATTGTGCTTGATATGCTTATTATGCCTGATATGTATTAGCAGTAGTAGGGGTGGAATAGTCTCCGGTTACCGGTTGAAAGATACCAAAGGGGAGGCTATCTCCCGGTTACCGGTTGGAAGATACCGAAGGGGAAGGTAGCTCCCAGTTACCGGTTGAAAGATACCGCAGGGGAGGTAAGTTCCCAATTACCGGTTGAAAGATACCGAAGATTATGCAGTATTTGGTATGGGTATGATGGGGGAACTCACTAAGCTTTGTGCTTAAGGTTTTTAGTTTTGGTTTCAGGTATCTCTTCATCTAAGGGGAAAGAGCTGGTAGGGTAGCAGCGCATTACACCTTCACACATGATTTTCAGCATTTGAGAAACCTAGGATTGTACTCTGATGATATACTATTTGCGAATATGGTTTTGAGACTTGTGATTTGTGACTTTATGTTTGAAATGATTTAGTGTTGTTTTCCGTAACTATTTTTACAAGTAATATACTTCAAAAAAAATAGGTTCTCGATTTTGGGGTGTTACATCTTGCACCAGAGGCAATGGAGCTCCTCAACAGAGTCTAACGGGTCATACATACTAATGTTATATCTCATAAATCGACAGATGTTGTTTTTAAAAGAATTAGTTGTGTCATTTAGAAAAAGCGAAGCATATTGTTCGTTTGTCTTCCATCAATATGTATTGACTTTTTATCTATGTTTATGGATATTTCAAAAATTAATGTAAAAAAAATTAATTTTATAAGAATAAGGGTAGTATATAATATTTTACCAAATAGTTGTAGTTTCAAAGTTTTATATTTTTGT